AAACAAGAGGCTTAACTAAGTCTGATGTTCTCTGACATTTTCTATTTCTTTAATGAAATGGTGGTCATGGCCCACTAAGTTACTTTTGTGTTTCATCAGTGGGTAATGGCCTGAGACCCTGGTAATGGTTAAAAGTACAATTCTGAGGTCAGGCTGATGACTTTCAGATCAGCCTGATTTTGGCCGGGCAGCCCAGATTGTGTAACCTCTACCTGTCCTTGTTTCTTCATCTGTAAAATGGGGTAATGTTAGTACCTACCCAGGCTGGACACAGTGGCACACCTGTAATCCCTGCATGTTAGGAGGCCAAGGCAGGAGGATGGTTTGAGCCCAGGAGTTTGAGACCAGCCTGGGCAACGTGGCAAGACCCTGTCTCTATAAAAAGGTTTTTTTTTTTTTTAAAAAAAAAAAAGTGGATGGGCTTGGTGGCTCACGTCTGTAATCCCAGAACTTTGAGAGGCTGAGGTGAATGGATCACCTGAGGTCATGAGTTTGAGACCAGCCTGGCCAACATGATGAAACCCCATCTCTACTCAAAATACAAAAAATGTAGCTGGGCGTGGTGGTGGGTGCCTGTAATCCCAGCTCCTCGGGAGGCTGAGGCAGAAGAATCACTTGAACCAGGAGGCAGAAGTTGCAGTGAACTGAGATAGTGCCATTGTACTCCAGCCTAGGCAATAAAATCCATCTTGGAAAAAAAAATTAGGGCGGGCACCGTGACTCACGCCTGTTAATCCCAGCACTTTGGGAGGCTGAGGCGGGCAGATCACCCGAGGTCAGGAATTCGAGACCAGCCTGGCCACATGGTGAAAACTCGTCTCTACTAAAAATACAAAATTAGCTGGGAATAGTGGCATGTACCCGTAACCCCAGCTACTTGGGAGGCTACTCAGTTCAATCACTTAAACCCAGGAGGTGGAGGCTGCAGTAAGCTGAGATCATGCCATTGCACTCCATCCTGGGCAAAAAGAGTGAAACTCAGTCTCCAAAAAATAAAAATTAAAAAATTAGCCAAGTATGGTGAGAGGAGGCTGAGATGGGAGGCTCGCTTGAGCCCAGGAGGTTGAGGCAGCAGTGAGCTGTGTTTGTGCCACTGTACTCCAACCTGGGAGACACAGTGAGACCCTGTTTCAAAAGTTAAAAAAAAAAAAGGTAGTCCACCTACCTTGTGAGCTCTACTGAGAAAGAAGGTAATGTGCATAAAGGCTTACAATAGGGCCTGACACATCATGAGGGCTTAAGAAATGTGGGGAGTAGGTACTGGGTGTGATGACAAAGGGCCTAATGCACCAAATCTTAGGAGATGAAAAAATGCTGCCTGGAGGCAATGGTATTAATGTTGGAATTTGAAAGAATAGTAGGAATTATTCAGGTTAGGATGCAAGTAGGTGAATAGATGGAGTAGGGAGAAATGAAGAAGCTGGGCATGGTGGCTCACACCTGTAATCCCAGCACTTTGGGAGGCCAAGGCAGGCAGATCACAAGGTCAGGAGTTCAAGACCAGCCTGACCAACATGGTGAAACCCCATCTGTACTAAAAATACAAAAATTAGCTGGGTGTGGTGGTACACGCCTGTAATCCCAGCTACTCCAGAGGCTGAGGCAGGAGAGTCGCTTGAACCAGGGAGGGGGAGGTTTCAGTGAGCTGAGATTGCACCACTGCACTCCAGCCCGTGTGACAGAGCAAGACTCAGTCTCATAAAAAAAGAAAAAAGAGAAATGAAGAAAGTTCTGGGCAAAGGGAACAGCCCTTGCGACAGCTGTGAGGTGGCACAACTTCCAGGCTTCGGTGACCCGAGAGCTTCCCAGGTTTGAGTGTAGCCTGAGAAATGTCTGTGGCAGATGAGGTCAGAGATGGCAACGTGGATGAGATCACCAACAGCCTGCAGCCATCTCAAAGAATTTTAGACTTTAACCTCCGTGTTAATGGGATCTTATTAAGAATCTTAAACAGGGAAATGACATGATTTTCTTTCTTGAAAGACCATTCAAGCTGTAGTGTGGAGAATGGATTTGGAGAGGACAATTTCAGTGGCAGGGAGACCAGGAGGATTCCATGGCAGTGTCTGTAGGAGAGATGATAGTAGCTTGAACCAGGGTAAGAATTGACAGGGAAAAAAACAGTGGTTTTTTTGTTGTTGTTGTTTTGAGACAGAGTTCTGCTCTTGTTGCCCAGGTTGGAGTGCAATGGCACAATCTCAGCTCACCTCAACCTCTGCCTCCCAGGTTCAAGCGATTCTCCTGTTTCAGCCTCCTGAGTAGCTGAGATTACAGGAATGCGCCACCACACCCGGTTAATTTTGCATTTTTAGTAGAGACAGGTTTCACCATGTTGGTCAGGCTGGTCTTGAACGCCTGACCTCGTGATCCTCCCACCTTGGCCTCCCAAAGTGTTGGGATTACAGGCCTGAGCCACCTCGCCCAGTGTGGAACAGTTTTAAAGATATAATTGGGACCAGGCACAGTGGCTCACAGCTGTAGTCCCAGCACTTTGGGAGGCTGAGGCAGGTAGATCACTTGAGCCTAGGAGTTCCAGACCAGCGTGGCCAGCAAGGCAAAACTTCGTCTCTACTAAAAATACAAAAATTAGCAGGGCCTGGTGGTGGGCACCTGTAGTCCCAACTACTGGGGAGGCTGAGGTGGATCCTTGAGCCTAGAGAGGTCGAGGCTACAGTGAGCAATGATCGCACTGCTGCCCTCCAGCCTAGGTGACAGAGCGAGAACCTGTCTCACAAACAAACAAATCTAATTAAATGCGGGGACTCTAGAGAGAGGAAGGAGCAATGGATCATTTCCACGTTTCTGGCTTGAGCATCTGGGTGGCTGGTGGTGGCAGTCTCTTAGAATACAGTGGATAAAAATATTCAATTTTTGGATATGTTGAACCTTGATAATTAAAGCTTCCTGATTTTGTTAATCCGTTTTCTGACACCCTTTAGCCATTCTCTAATGCAATGCTTTTCACGTTATTATGTGCATAGGAATTACCAGGAGTGTGGAGGTGGGGATGCGAAAATGCAGGTTTCTAGGCTAACAAGCCAAGATTCTGGAGATACCAACTGGGTCCCAGGGCTGAAAACAATCAGCCTGAGTAATTGTGATGGAGGGAGACTCCTGACAACACTTAAGAAACAACGAAAACGACCCCTCTGTCGGGCGTGGAAGCCTGTAATGCCAGCACTTTGGGAGGCCGAGGCTCGCTTGAGCCCAGGAGTTCGAGACCAGCCTGGGCAATACAGGAAGACCCCCTCCGCCCCCCGCGTTTCTAAAAAAAAAAAAAAACCATGTGTCTCTACCGTTAGGTTGTTTTCCCACTGTCCACCCCTCCCTACTTCTCAGGCAGCTGCTTGGGGGTCCCTATTGCTTCGAATAAGCTCCGTGGGAGCCAGGACGTTGTCTTATTAACAGGTGCACCTTCAGCGCTCAACAGTATCTGGCACAGCACTGGCCCCCTAGAAATGTTCGCCGAACAATCGAATGGCTGAATACATTCATAGGTTGCTTTGTACAAAAACTTTTGCTTTGAAATATCTGGAAGAGTTCGAGATAGAAAAGCAGACGTCATTCCAAAGAGAGAGAGAGTGAGGATGCCACCGGGAAGGCAACGCCGAAAAAACCGGAGGAGAGCCACTTGCCGATCCCCCAGGCATAGTCTGGAGGTCCCAACTCCCGCGGTAGGGGGGCGAGAAATGCCACTCTTCTGATCAGCAACCATTTTGGGCCCGCTTGCGCCGCTTCTCCAGGGCGTCCGCGTTGTGCTAATCCAGTTGCTTTAGAGGTTCGGGTCCCCTCCAAGCCTTTGAGGCGCCCAGTGCACGCGACGCGGCGGCGGGGGAGGCCGAAGCTCTAATCGCGAGCCCTTTCTGCGGCTCACCCGCCGAGCAGCCGCGCCGACCTCCTCATCATGGCGGCGGCCGGGCGGGGAAGCCGGGCCGTGCGTCACGTGCGTGCCCTCTTCCTCCCCTCCCCCTCCTCGGCGGCGGCGGCGGCGGCAGAAGCGGCAGCGCTCGCCATTGCCGCTGGTGGCAGGAGGCTGCGAGGAGCCGGCGCGGTCGCAGTCTCCACGGCGCAGGCCCACGGTAGCGCAGCCGCTCTGAGGTGAGTGCCCTACCGCGCAATCTCCAGCTATTTCAGCCCCGGCGCAGCCGCAACACGCCGCCCGCCCGCCGGCCGGCCGGCCCGCCCCGCAGCCGGCACCCTGCCGCCCCCGGCTCCGGGCCTGGGCCCCCGCCGGATTCGGCCCGCCTCGGGCGGGGGGCCCCGGCCCGGCCCAGCCAAACCGCCACCCCGAGGATGCGCAGGCCGCACTAGGCCCCAGGCGTCCTGGCGGGCTGGGGAGGGAGGCGCTGCCCTCCCGAGAGCCCCAGGGTTCCGGCCTCCCCCGCTGCCTGGGGCTCTCGGGACCGCGGCCTCCTCCCCGCCGTGGAACCCGGGGCCCGGCCTTCCCTCGGCTCGGGAGCGGGAGGCGCGGGAGAGTGCGCCGGGCCCGGGAGCGGGAGGTGGGCGGGCTGCGCGGGACCGAAGCCGCGGCTCTTCGCTCGCCCCCTCGGCCCTTCCCGGCTCTAGTCCGCGGGCGGGCGGCGCGGCGGGGCAGGGCTGGGGCGCAGGAGCCGCTGTCTCCTGCGGGAGAGGAGGCTGGCTCTTTGGGCGACCTCTGAAGCTTCCCTCCTGCCGGGGTGGCGTGGGCTTGTTACCCAGGTAGACTGGGGGACGCTGGAATATGGCGCGATGCCCACCTTCTTGCAAGTTAGGAGGCGGCCGGGGCGGCAGTTCGAGGAGGAGGGCGCAAAGTCCTTTTGTACGCCGAAATAAGGAGCGACATTGTGTTTTCTTCCCCAGCTGAGATGTGCCCGCGGAGGGACCGCGGTTCTTCCTGTGCCTGGGGTGGTGGTCCCCTGGGTGGGGAAGAGGGGGAGTGGCACGCCCCTCCGAAGGAACCGAACCTTTTGCCACTGGAAAGACAGGGGCTCCGGGATGGCCGTGTGCATGGTATTTTCCCACATCCCCAGACCGTTTCGGGTTTGTCATTGTATGTTGTGCACTCCACCTTGCAATGATGTCTGCTGCCTCTCTCACCTGTTGTGTCGTGGCTGCTGGTCCCAAAGTTTCTGTAGTGCATTTGGCTGTTCCCACCAGAACTTGAAGTTGTTTAAAAATCTTAATATTTGGGGGGCTTCCAGTGATATCTGCTCCAACCAGTTGGAGGAGCTGTTGCCTGTTCTCCATTCTTTTCAAGCATTAGATTAGAATATATTAATTGCTTATTTTAGAACTGGTGTCAGTCGTGCTGAATTCTTTCTGTGGTCAGAGCAAAATTCACATTTTCCTAAGTGTTCAAATACCGTGTTTTGGGAAACGCATAAGGAGAAAGATAGTGTGAGTGAGCCTATCAGTTTGGAAGGTGTTGGGCAGAGCTTTTGTCCTGGGACATCCATCATCTGTGCTCGCAATGATCCTTTTTCCCATTCCATCTCAGCCCAGTCTTTTAAAAAATTCTTTCTCCTTTGGGCTTGACCAGTAAGTTATTGGGAAAGGGGGGCGTTAGAGTCTTGGAGATGCTGTTTGGGTATGTGTGTTCGATTCATTAGTATCCCGACTCCCTAAAATTGTGTTTGACAGTTCTTGACAGGTTACCCCATAAGACAGTGAAAATATGACTAGTTCTCTCGGTGCATCTGAGTGTAATTTTCTTATTTTATGAGTGAGAAAGCAGACATAATTATCACATGCAATATAGAATATTTACTCTTGGATCCTAAATTGTGTACAGAATTTTTTTTTTCTTTTCATGGGACTTAGACAGTGGCTTTCAACAGGGGCCATGACCAAAACAAAAAACAATCAGATTAAGAAAACTCTTTACTTAATCTTTTGCCTCATCCTTACTTGAAGTCCTTTAATTCCAATCTCAAACTCAACATAGAGGAGGGATATTGACTTTATGTTTAGTAGTCAGTGGTCATATATTGGAGGGAAAATGACTTTCTTAGTAGTCAGTTGTCATATTCTCATGTAGCAAAGAAAATTTCTTATCCCCAAGCCATGAGTTTTTGTGAAAATAGTTGTTTTTCTTTTCTTTTTTTTTTTTTTGAGATGGAGTCTCTGTTTCCCAGGCTGGAGTGCAGTGCTTCAATCTCGGCTCACTGCAGCCTCTGCCTCCTGGGTTCAAGCAATTATCCTGCTTCAGACTCCAGAGTAGCTGGGATTACAGGTGTGGGCCACCATGCCTGGCTAATTTTTGTATTTTTAGTAGAGGCAAGTTTCGCCATGTTGGCCAGGCTGATCTCGAACTTCTGACCTAAGGTGATCTGCCAGCCTTGCCCCCCCAAAGTGTTGGAATTACAGGCGTGAGCCACTGCACCTGACTCAATAGTTTTCTTATAAAAATATATATATGTGTGTGTGTATAATATATATACACAATTTTTTTTTTTAAATTAGAGGTGCGGATCTTGGTATGTTGCCTATGCTGGCATTGAACTCCTGGACTCAAGCAATGCTCCCACTTCAGCTTCTCTAGTATCTGAAACTATAGGCAAGTGCCACCATGCTGGCAGGGGCTTTATAACAGGTTTTAAGGAAATGTAGCTCCTGTGTTTAAAGAAGGAACTATAGAAGTAGGAGATAATGAGGGCCCTTGTCCAGATATAGAAGGGATTAAAGGAGAAAGGATTTCAGGTTTCCTTCTGAATTCCTGTGTATGTTGTTAGAACCCCAAATTGTAGGTTTTTTGTTTTATTAGACCATAATTAGGCACTTGGCTAATTTTGTTAAGGAACTGAAGGCCAGCTTCCCGTGATTTCAATACCTGAATTTACATTGCCTGCACACTGTAGGTCCAACCAAATCTCTGGGTTGTCTTTAGAAACATTTTATGTGAAATAACCACAAATGAGTGACTTGTTTTAAGGGAAATTTAAGCTCCTGTGGTCTGGGATTAAATTTTTATACCTTTTCTTGTATGCAATAAGGCATTCAGTAAATGTTGGGGAATGATAACGATGAACAGTAATTACTGAAATTAATTTTTTTTCATGAGTATTTTGAAAGGCATGCTGATTTTTTGGTTTCTGAAGGGACTATGAACTGTCAGTCTTTAGAAACAGTCTGCAGTCCTACCTCAACAGGAAGTTAATATATACATTCAGCTTCTGTCAGATGTCTTTAGACAAGCCTAGTGCTTCATGCTGAAGCAGGCTTATTCATCTACACAGTGCTACTGTGAAAAATTGGAGGGTGAGGGGAGACTCTGTGGGCTGTTGAATTTCACAAATGTCTACTTTAGATGCACCTTTCCTGGGCCTGTAATCATCCAGGAAATGGGATATCTGAATTTAGATGTTTGTGTGTGACTATGTGTGATGCTTATTAACATGTATATATAGCGTATTTGGAAAATCAATCTTAAAATACCAATCTTTGATTTTGTAAAAAACATTTCAGAAAATGTTCTAAAGGACATTTTCCTTCTGTTCTTTCATGTTTTCCTTGATAGCTAAAGCTAGTGTTTTTAGTCTGAGCTTACCCAAATATAATTTTCCATGAATGCTTAGTAAAATGGCAATGAAAAAGAAACACACTTGTTACATTTTTTAGAAACATTTTATTTAGACCAAGTCCAATATTTTTTGAGTCTCAGGATACATGTTAATTTTTGTGCCCTATGTATCATACATTTCCTTATTAACTAGAGGGTGGATTACCCACTTTCTTGGGTTTTCAGTTAGTACTTTTATCCATCAGTATTCTACTAAGGTAAACAGACTGGAAGATAAATAGTAAAAGGAGGTGAAATCAGATTAATTTCAGGTGTTTCCAGAAGATTAAAACCACATTGAGATATCGGAAACTTTTAATCCTTGAGCAACAAGAATGCTTTGTTTGAAGTTATTTGAATGTAATATGGACAAAACTTGGGAAATGAATTTTTGACTACTCAAGGAATATAAGTGGATTGCTTGTAACTTAGTATATATATATTTTTCTAAAGTTCATTTCAGAATTAGGTTAATGCTTTTTTTTTTTTTTTTTTTTTTTCCTGAGACGGAGTTTCGCTCTTGTTACCCAGGCTGGAGTGCAATGGCGTGATCTCAGCTCACTGCAACCTCCGCCTCCTGGGTTCAGGCAATTCTCCTGCCTCAGCCTCCTGAGTAGCTGGGATTACAGGCACACACCATCATGCCCAGCTAATTTTTTGTATTTTTAGTAGAGACGGGATTTCACCATGTTGACCAGGATGGTCTCGATCTCTTGACCTCGTGATCCACCCGTCTCGGCCTCCCAAAGTGCTGGGATTACAGGCGTGAGCCACCGCGCCCGGCCCTAGGCAAATCCATTTTTAACCCGACTTAATGCAGTGTAGTTAGCAAAACATCAGAAGGCTTCATCCTGTTGTCTTTATACCTAAAATGTTTTAAAATGTGAACATTTATGTGATACCAAGTAAACTTTCTATGACCCAAAGAAGGGCTAGGAATACAACCTTATAGATATGTTCTAATATATTAGAAAACAATGGCTGGGCATGGTGGTTCAGGTTTATAATCCCAGCACTTTGGGAGGCCAAGGCAGGAGGATTGCTTGAGATCAGGAATTAAGACCAGCCTGGGCAATGTAGTGAGACCCTGTCTTTACAGAATATTAAAAAAAAAAAAAAAAATAGCTGGGTATAGTGGCATATGCTTGTAGTTTGAACTATCAGGAGGCTGAGGCAGGAGAATCACTTGAGCTTGGGAGTTTGAGGTTGCAGTGAGCATAATCGTGCCGTTGTGTTCTGACTTGAGTGACAGACCCTGTCTCTTAACAAAAACGCCAGATTGCTGTTTAGGTAGGCCTACCACATTTGTGATCTCTTGAGGCAAATCTGTATTGTATCTCTAAGAGCAGTCAGCAGTCACTTAGAAGATAATCTGACTGTAAGAAATGGTCTGCTGAATCCCCGATCTGGTATTCTGCCTTGCCCAATCACAACATGGTTTGTGTAAAACTCCAACTGCTACTGAACCATCAGATAATTCTTGAGGAAGCTGCGTCTCGTAAGGAGGTGTGTGTGTGTTTGAGGGAGTGTGGTGGGGAGAAGAAGGGGAAAGAGAAGATGATATTAGGAAAAGAATATAGTTTTATAGATTGGGATGATCCCTGGAATTTTTTAGATGAAATATTCTCGAAGCTATAAGAGCTACTTTTGTATGGGTTATCAGTTTGCTGATTTAGACTATTTCTTGTAATTGGATTGTTTTATATGTAAGCAAAATATTTCAATTAATTCATGCATGCTGATTTCTGTGATTACAAATGTGAAAAGTTTGGCTGGTAGCTTAAGTGAACATTTTCTTAAGAACTCTTGAAGTGGTGCCTTTTGGGATAAACTATGCCAAGCCATTTTCTGAATCTTCATGAAGAATGAGCTTTATATGCATATATACTAAGACTGTTTTTAAAAAGCATATATTTTACTGTTGGTAATTGTAAAGTCCTTGCTTTTTAGAACTTTAAGAGTCTGTTTTGTTGCTACTACTGAATGCTAATGTGGTTAGGCTGGCAGCTAAACCTACAAAGAACAAGGGGAAGTGAGGAAATGTCTCTGTGAAACATTGCTTAAAACTATTTGAGCAGTGGACTAGAAATGGGGAGTTGGGGACTAGGGGACCTGATTCTTGTTTTATGTTCAAAGGAGAGTGAAGCATTCTCTCCATTGAGAAATAACCTCCTTTAGTGTATTTTCACTTTGGAGTTTTGTCACTCATTCACCAAACAATGATTCCGGGCATGTGCTAGGTGCTAGAATAACAAATATTGGGCCTTGTCTGGTAGGGCAGAAAGGTATGGTGGGTTCAACCAGCTATGTTACAACTTCTAGAGAACCAAAATAGTGTAAAGAAAGAGTGGTGTGGGATTGTAGGAGGAGGGAGAAATTCTAGGGAGAGGAGAATGATACACAGAGAAAGGTGAGCTTAGGGAAGACTTTTCATATAGGGGAGTTTGAGTAGGACTTAGAAGGGTGAGTTTAGCTGCATTAACTGATGGAGAAAAGGGGGGCTGAGAGGAAGGGCATCAGAAATCTGATTTGAGAACTAGCAAGTGGATTTTGCTCTGTTTGGAGAATAGTGGACTGATAAGGTTGTGGCCTGATTGGGAAGAGTTTGTAATTTCATGCTTATGAGTGTGGACTTATTCTGTAGGCATTTAGGAACTGTAAGAGATTTGAGTAGGACATCTCTGGTTTTTAAAAATATGACGTGAAGGTTGGACTAGAGACTTGTGAGACTATTGAATTGTGGTGTTAAAGGACATAAATTCTGGAGATCATTTTTATTTCACAGTTGTCAGATTTGGGTTACAATTGAGTAAAGGGGAGTTAAAGATTACAGTTTGGTTATTGGGTGATGATGACGGCTTTAAGATAGGGAATGTATAGGAAAAACAGGATTTGAGGAGGAAGGTAATAGAGTGTGATTCCAGGTGTGTTTAGATATCCGGGAATCAAGAAATGTCAAGTAGGTACCTGGATATTTGGGCTGGAGCTCAAGGGGGCGTTGGGATCAATTAGGGGATTTGCATTTATCAGTATAATGCCGTATAGAAACTGCAGAAAGCCAGGCATGGTGGCTCACACCTGTAATCCTAACACTTAGGAGGCCAAGGCAGAGGATCACTTGAGGCCAGGGGTTCAATACGAGTCTGGGTAACATAGTGGGACCCTGTCTCTATAAAAATTATAAAAATTTGTCAGGTATAGTGGTAGCCACCTGTGGTCCTGGCTACTCAGGAGGCTGAGGCTGGAGGATGACGTGAGCCCAGGAGTTTGAGGCTATAGCAAGCTATGATAGGGCCATGCACTCCAGCCTGGCTGTCAGAGTAAGACCCTGTCTATAAGAAAAAAAAAGAAGAGGCAAATAGTACAGGTTGAGTATCTTTTATCCAAAATGCTTAGGACCAGAAGTGTTTCAGAGTTTTTTTTTTTTTTTTTCTTTTACTTTGTAATGTTGATATATACCCATAATGAGATACCCTGGGGATAGGGCCCAAATCTAAACTAGAAATTCTTTTATGTTTCATATACATCTTACAACTCAAATGCAGTTTTATACAATATTTTAAATAATTCTGTGCATGAAACAAAGTTCTGATTCCATTCTGACTGTAATATGTCCCTGAGGTCAGGTGTGGAACTTTCCACTTGTGGCATCATGTCAATGCTCAGAAAGTTTCAGATTTTGGAGCATTTCAGATTTTGAATTTTTGGATTAGGAATGCTTAACCATATCAAGAGTGAAGGAAAAAAAAAAACTAAGGGCAACCTTGGAGAGAGCATCTACGTCTGAGGGTCAAGTAGAAGAATAGAAACCTATGAAGTAAGTTGAGAAAGAGTGGCTAAACAGATAAGATTATAGGATTGAAGACGCTGAAGAGAGGAATGAGTGAATCTTGACAGGGAAGTTAGCAGTGGGAAATACCAGAGTTCACTGGTTTGGAGGGCAACGCCAGAGGATTGCTTAAACTCAGCACTTCGAGACCAGCCTGAGTAACAAGATGTCATCTCTTAAAAAAAAAAAAAATTCATTGGATAAAAACTGGAGTTGGCATTTAAGAGATAAAAGATTTTCTGAATGTGTACGTATATATGTATATATTGTTTTTCTAGGAACCATGATAGTTTAGACAGAATAGATTGCCAGAGCATTACTAAATACAGGGGTAGGGTCTACAGAACCTAACTTCGTAGATGACCCATGCTTAGAAATAGGTCCTGTTCCTCACCATCTCTCATGGGAGTTGCAGCTAAAATGCTTTGGGAGATGATCCCCAACAACAGGGCTGCCTAAAAATCTCCATATATATTTTTTTGGCCCTTTTTTATGTTGTCTTACGTTCTGAGAATTGGAGATTTCATTTGAGTTGACAGTGTCTTAAAATACAAATTCCTCTTGCAGAGTTTTGAGGTTTCTGATATTAGTATGTTAAGTATGAGGGTTTTTAACCTAGGGTTTTATGGTTCTGGGGTTCATGTATTTTTGTTATGTGACCCTGAATCCCTTAAAATTGTATGAAAAGTTATGTATGAGTGCCTGTGTGATTTTTCTGGGGATAGAGTCCACAACATTTATGAGATTTTCAAGGGGGCTGTTGACAGAAAAGTCAAGGGCCTTTACGAAATGTTAATGATTAAATCAAGTGTTGGATGTGTTAGTTGGCTGAAATCAGTTATCTTGACCACTGGGATAGATCAAGGGAAAGAAATCTTGAGTAGGTGTCTCAGGTGAAGAACTTTAGAAAGATATGAGGAACTTCTTAGAGACGGGAGTAGGAGCACCAGAAGGAAGGTAGGAGGAATGCCGAAGCAAAGCTTAACCAATTTCAGAATTTTGTCAAGTCTCTGGATTCCTTGTTTTTTTTATACTCTCGGACTCACACTTAGTATATGTTTATTCATGCTCTGTAGTTACAGTAGGCTTTGTGAGGTAGGGGAATCAAATTACTATTGTTTTAAAGAGAAAGTATTTTAAAGAAAATAAATTGATAGATTGTGCTTTTCGGAAAACAGTTTCTCTACCAAGCTGGCTCACTTGTCAAAATTCATTTTTAAGTTAGGTTTTGCTTATGCTTTGGAAAAAATTTTAAATGCACAAATATTTCAATCTAGTGATACGGGGCAAGACATTTATTTTTTCCTTGCTTAACTTTTCTGACCATGAAATGAAACCACTATTGATGGTTTTTATAGTGTCTTTCTGAAATATGACGATTATGGAATACTTTGAGATCCAATATGATTTAATGCTAAGAAATTGCTGGCATTCACATTTCTAAAGTCATGAATAAAATTAAGAAATTGAAGCACATTATGTGTTCACTAGATCTTACATGATTTCCAAAATATTTCATTCTGAAATTTTAGATAACTGGTAATTTTTACTTCCTTCTCCTAATCTTTGGATCTTTGAAATTAAGAGACAGTTTTGTCAGCTAGGCCCTAGTTTCTGGGTCAGTGATGTCCAAACTTTTGCTTGCCACCCTCAAAGTAAAATAAATAATGCCACTTGGCATTGATTTGTGATTTTTCTGGGGAGAGGGTCTACAAGTTTCATTTATTTTACCAGTAGTCTTGGTAACTATGTGAATAAATATGTTAGATAATCTTAAAGTTGTGTTATGTGATTTGTAATTAGCTTGTGTTTGTGGATGATCTTTACATTTACTAAATCTATGAAGGGCACAGATAGAATGGAGTAATTTGTCTTTTCCTTTGGGAACTTTTTTTGGTTCTTTCTTTCATTAAACAATTATAAAATAAAATTTTTGGCAACAGATCTTCCATGTAAAAATAGCCCACACATCAAAGAACTAGCCAAGATTTGCTAAGCAAGAACACCATCATACAACTAGTCTCTTGACCCAAAACTAGCTGTAAGCACGAAGTCTAAAGAAGAAGTAATTCTGATCTATTACCAGAATTTTGTGGTAAAGTGGCTGAGTGCTAAAATTGTTGTCTTTAATTTTTGGCTCTATATTTTAAAAGTTTTTCTCCGTTGAAATGTATTGATAGTGAAAAATTTAGAAGAAAAACACTCCACATTAGTGATTATCTTTGATCTATAAGCTTATAGGTGATTTTCATTTTCTTTCTTGTACCTTCCATTGTTTTTCAAGTTACCCTTAATAAAAATGCATTAGCTTGTATAAACAGAAGAAATAAATATAGATAGTACAATTATGGCCCTAATGACTTCACTGTTAGATTTTGGATAGGCAAGTTACTTACCTTTACTGGGCCTTTTTCCCATTTGAAAAAGGAGGACAGAAATGAAATTTAAATATTCTTCTAAATTAAAGTTTCTTCCAAAATTGATCCTAAGTCTGTGTTACACGTTAATAAATATATTTTCCTCTTAAAAAGCTTATGTCATATACGTTCATCGTAGAAATGAAGAAAAGTAGAAATCATAATTCTGCAATACAAAGATATTTTGATATGTATGGTTTAGAAATTTTTCTTTTCTTTTTTTTTTGAGACGGGGTTTCGCTCGTTACCCAGGCTATAGTGCAAGGCGCCATCTCGGCTCACCGCAACCTCCGTCTCCTGGGTTCAGGCAATTCTCCTGCCTCAGCCTCCCGAGTAGCTGGGATTACAGGCGTGCGCCACCATGCCCAGCTAATTTTTGTATTTTTAGTAGAGACGGGGTTTCACCATGTTGACCAGGATGGTCTCGATCTCTCGACCTCGTTACTCACCCGCCTCGGCCTCCCAAAGTTTTTTTTTTTTTGAGACTGAGTCTTACTCTGTCGCCCAGCCCTGGAGTGCAGTGGTGTGATCTCAGCTCATCGCAATCTCCACCTCCCAGGTTCAAGTGATTCTCCTACCTCAGCCTCCCCAGTAGCTGGGATTACAGGCGCCTGCCACTGTGCCTGGCTAATTTTTGTATTTTAGTAGAGACAGGGTTTCACCATGTTAGCCAGGCTGGTTTCTAACTCCTAACCTTAGGTGATATGCCTGCCTTGGCCTTCCAAAGTGCTGGGATTACAGGCTTGAGCCACTGAGCCCGGCCAGTTTAGATATTTTTCTAAGCACACATGGATATACACAATACATACTCACACTGTCAGTTTATTTTCACCTTGAAACATTCTTAATGAGACAGTTACAGATCCATTTGTTTTAATGAAACATAAAAGATATTTAAAATTTTTCTTTCCTAATACATATTTGTTGAGGAAATGCTTACTGTTTAATGCTCTGTGTGGTTTTGCTGAGGTAAGGGTAACTTGGAGTACAGGTGTAAGGGCTTGCCCATGAAAGCTTGCTTAGTGCAGAATGAAAGCTAAATACTGGGTTAACCTCAATTTTGTTCACATATTAACTTGCTTTTTCTCCACTCTGCCATGATACTCCCTGAGCGAAAATTTCTATTTGCAGGATAGTTTCTGAAGTGAAGAACCTGTCTCAAGATAGCATTGGTCTTTTATTTACCCTGGGACCTTCTGAGTTGTTAGTCCCATTGTCAACACATGAAGTATTAGTAGCAGCAATAGTATAACGCAGTAGTGTTAAAAATACCTGTTTGTTTTTAGCATCTGTAGGGTGTTCGAAAGATTTTGTATATATAAAATATATTCAAAATGCTGTGTAATTCAATTCATACAGTCAATGAAATATGTGATATATATAATTCTAATTCTGTGTAAAGAATAACTGAACTTTCTCAAAGATATCTTTCTTAAAGATTTTATATGGTGGAATCCTGTTTAGAGCTAGTAGTGTAATCCAATTTTCATGCCTACTCATTTAATTTTGTTTTTAATCCCTTTGGTGGCTGTTTTTTTTTTTATATATATACAAAATGGAAAGCAAATCTAGGGTAGTTTCTTAGTTACTGCATTTGGTTTCTAAAGTAACATCATTTTCCCTCAAGATACAGTAAAGCCTATAGAGGTGACAATGACAAAAAAAATCCAACTTGTTCATTCTCTTCCCTTCTACTTTGAAAAATTAGGATCTTTTCCAAAAGAACTTTTAGAATGTATGCTTGACAATTAAGATTCTTAAATCACTGTCTTTCAGACATCATGGAACGTGGAGAATCTGAGAATAAAAAATACAAACTTTTTCTCTCTTAAACTTCTGTATCTGAAAGGTATGAAAGCAAGAGCTAATTCTCACTTGAGAATCTGCCACAGTGATTGCTTACATTCTGAAGAAATCCATTTTGTCGCCAAATGGTATTTTTCATCTGAGGATACAGAACCTGTGGATGTAGAGGCCCAACTGAAGGGGACATGAATATCTGTGGATTTTAATCCCTCCCCTTGCCCCCTGCAAAGGATGACTAAATCCATCAGGTCTCCTCTCAAACACAATTTCCTTGGGGAAGTTTTACCTGGTCTCCCTATATTTTTGCATTTTTCCTTCATCGTAGGTGGTCATTTATATAATTTTATATAAGTTTGCATATTGTTTGATGGATGTCTGTCCCACCAGATTGTAAGCTCTGTGAGAGTAGATACCGTGCTTCTGTGCATTACCAAGCACAGGCCTGACACATAACAAGCAGTGTTTATTTGAATGATTGTAGAAACCTGGCAAAACTCATTTGTAACATTGTACCTTATGCTTTTGTGGATCTAATATTTTATAATTTTAGGAACTCGGGGTGGGAAGAGATTCTAAATCATCTAAGACAGCTCTGCTTTCCAAAGTTGAAAGTCTTCAGTCTCTCCTTGAACACATTCAATGATAGGAAATGTAACCACCTACCAAAAGTCTGGTTAGTCTTTAAGATATTTTGATGGTTAGAAAATTTTTGTTAAGGCAGTGCTGTGGGAAAAAAAAATTTTCTAACTGAAAGTTCTCTTTTTTTTTGAGACAGGGTCTCTGTGTTGCCCAGGAGGTTGCTCTCAAACTCCTGTGCTATAGGGATCCTCCTGCCTCAGCCTCCCAAGTGGTATCCCTAAAATTTTTACCTACTGATTTTACTCTGTTCTGTATGGCTTGCAAAAGCAAGTATAGTTTTCATTTTCCTTATTGTCTGAGTTGTCCCTATTTTAGTTTACATATCCCTAGATCCTTCAATCTTGGGAAGGTAACGGAATGCTGGAGAGTTTGTGGACTGTATTCATTTCCTGGGGCTGCCATGAAACCACAAACTTACTGGTTTTAAGAGACAGAAATGTTTTCTCTCACAGTTCTGGAGGCCAGCAGTCTGGAATGAAGGTGTCCACAGGGCAGCACTCCCTCAGGAGGCTCTGGGGGAGAATCTGTTCTTTTTCTCTTCTAGCCTTTGGTGGTGTTCCTTGACTTGCGGCTGCATCATTCCAGTTTCTGCCTCCATGGTCACATTGTCTCCTCTCTGTATAATCTCTAGCTGCTTCACTCTTAAAAGGACACTTGTCACTGGATTTAGGACCCACCTAGATAATTGAGGATGGTCTCAGAATTCTTAGTTACATCTCTAAAGACCCTTTCTTCAAATGAGGTAATATTCCCAGGTGCCAGTGGTAAGCATGTGGACATACCTTTTTGGGAGCCACCATTCAGTCCACTATAGGACTCTGGGCTTATATTTTGTTAATGCCACTTACTAAGTTTGCAACCTTGAGCATGTTAATTGACCTTTGTGAGTCTGAATCTTCTTAATTTTATTTATTTTTAAATTTATTACTTTTTTAGAAACAAAGACTAGCGCCGTCTCCCCAGTTGGAGTGCAGTGGTACAATCATGGCTCACTGTTGCCTCAAACTCCTGGGCTTAGGCAATCTTCCTGTCTTAGCCTCCTGAGTAGCTGGGACTTCGGCATGTGCCACCATGCCCAGCTAATGTTTTCATTGTTGTTTTAGAGACAGGATCCTCCTGTATTGGCCAGGCTGGTCTCAAACACCTGGCCTCAAGTAATCCTCCCACCTTGGCCTCCCATAGCAATGGAATTACAGGCATGAACTACCGTCCCTGGATGAATTGCCTTAATTTTAAGGCAGGAACAATAATGCCTTTATTATTGATTTGTGAAGATATAAGGAAAATTCATATGAAGTACTTGGCACATGGCAGCTAACTTATTCAATGTTGCCAGTGTTGCCCTTTACTTACCAAACTACTGTGACTATAATGCACTGCTGTCAGGGTCCCTGAGTATCCTGTGTGGTGTAGAACCCGGCACAAGTTGTAGGGCTGGTCTGATAAATACAGACTACAGTGGCTCTGATTTTATTGTGTTCTGGACACCATTTAGCCAACTGTGAGGTAGTCTAAGTTTGAATTAGGTTTATCTGTAGCCACATCATACAATTGGCTCATTAAACCTAGAATTGGTCAAAACCTCTAAATCTTTTTCATTGGTGATTCAACCTGTATTGGATAGTTAAGTGTTTAGACCCAAGGGCAACCTCTAACATATTACATTGTGTGTTACAAGTGTTACATTAAATCATACTGCCTAGTGCATAGTAGGAGTTGAATGAATGCTGAATTTAACGTTGCTGGGTGACTTAAAGGAGCATTTAAACTTACCTGCTTTGGTGCTATTCAGATTTCTTAAATACTGTGATGAATACAAAAAGGGAAAGAAGTAGCAACCACACCAATTATATTGGACAGATGGATGCATCTTGATTCTCCTTCTGTAATCAGGAAATCAGGTGCTGCTTCAGGTAATCAATGGCTGATCACCTTCAGGTGATGGACACCTTGCTTTAGATGCTTCTGTCAAGTGTGAGATGTTTATCCATTGCTAAAGTAACAAATGTACATCTAATGATTTTCGTATCTCCAGTATTTTTGGAATTTGCATTTGAGATAAAAGACAAGAGAAGTAGGCGAAATGATATTTTTAAAATATTCAAACCTGACTAGGTTAGTATTGAATTGAGTAAGTACTACGTGCACATGGTTAAAAGGAATACAGTAAAAAGTGGGTTGCCCAGTTTCTTTTCTGGAAACCACAACTACTACCACTGTCTTACATATTCTTCCAGGTAGGCTAAGCAGAAATTGTGTGTTTGTGCCCTTCCCTTTTTAAAAACACAAATGATAGCATATATGCATATGGTTCTCCAGAAAGTGCTTTTATTAATTAATTAAATAAATAATTAATTTTTTGAGGCAGGATCTCCCTCTGTTGCCCAGGCTGGAGTGCAGTGGCACAATCTCAGTTCACTGCAGCCTCAGCCTCCCCTGTTCAATCCTCCTACCTTAGTCTACCTGGTAGCTGTGACTACAGGTGCATATCGTCATGCTTGGCCTTTTTTTTTGGGTAGATACAAGGTCTTACCGTCTTGCCCAGGCTAGTCTTAAACTCCTGAGGGCAAGCAATCCTCCAAATTGTTGGGATTACAGGCATGAGCCCCTGTGCCCAGCAAAAGTGCTTTTTAAAAAAAGAATAATGTTTTGTATCCTGATCCTCAAGACCATTGTAGGGCTCCCGAGTTTTTTGTCCTATTAATAGATAGGGCACCAAATTCCTTAGCTTTCCATTACTAATTTGATTGTACAAGGTGCATTTTCAAGGGAATTGACTGTTATATAGTCTTTTGTGAAAGAATTGTCTTTATATGCTGACTCAGTTTCTACCAGGGAAATAAAACTAATTTTAATTCAGGTTGCTTATTTAGAAGGCAAGTAAAGAAAAACCCATCAATTGAAATTAGTTTAACGCATTATCTTGGTATTGCTTGTACCCTTTTCATGCTTGCTAAATGAATCACTCATTTTTATTATATTGACAGCAGAGCTAAATAAATTATTTCAAGAGTCTGGTAAGTAGCATAGGTCTAGTTTAGGAAGAGCTGGAATGCCCAGGAGTAGTAGAGCTCTGGCAATCACATTCTTCCTTGGATTATTATTTGTGTTTTTTTTTTTTCTCTCTTATACTCTAAGCCAGTAGTTCCTGATCTTTGGTCTCATGACCCTTTTACTCTCATTAAAATTATTGAAGACTCCAAATATAATGGCTTTTATTTATGTGTGTTATAACTTTTGATACTATATTAGAAATTAAAACAAATTTTTAAAATATTTCTTAATTTAAAAAATGACCCTGTACATGTTAAAAAGTTAATATTTTAATTGTTAATATTTTATGAAAAATAACTTTTTTAAAACAAAAAGGAATTTAGTGAGAAACATGATATTTTACAGTTTTTGCAAATCTCTTGAATGCCTGGCTTGAGAGAAGACAGCTGAAGTCTCATCTGCTTTTGTACTCAGTCTGCTGTAGTATGTTGCTTTGGTTAAAGTATAAAAAAGATCTGGTCTCATACCAAATATGTGGTTGAAAGAGTATTTTAGGAGCCTTTTCAGATAATTGTGGATATTCTTTGGTATATTAAAACTCAGCAGTGGTAGTTTCTTAAAGATGAGTTGTAATTTGAAATCTGAAATTATAACTGTACTCTTATATTAAAGCCTATTGGTTTGTCATGCTCTATGAATGGATCTTTTAACCCATCTGTAATTTTGTAACATCATCTATTGGTGATTTGGAAAATATTAATTCATACAAGTTTATGGAGATCTTCCAAATATTGACACAAAAGTCACATTCTTTATCATCACCACTAATCTCATCAGAAAAGGCTTTTAAGTAATGGAAAACTTTCAGGCTCACTGTAGCAGATACAAGTTTTCCAAAATTCTAATTATCACTTCAAATATCAAATTTCATCATTGGCAACAAATATTGTCAGTTATTTTCATTGAAGTAACAGGCCCACTTTTAAATTTTGAGAAAATATCTGTAAAATACCGAGGTCTGAAGAACAATATAGTTTGTCAGCCACTCTTAAGTAAAAATGGTATTCCCGCTGAAAAAAGCAGCTAATTCAGCTTGCAACATAAAACAAGGCATGCACGCTGTTTTGTTTTTTGTTTTTTTTTGAAACGGAGTCTTGCTTTTGTCACCCAGGCTGCAGTGCAGTGGTGTGATCACAGCTCATTGCCTCCTGTGTTCAAGTGAGTCTCTTACCTCAACCTCCTGAGTAGCTGGGATTATAGGTGCCCGCCACCACACCCAGCTAATTTTTGTATTTTTAGTAGAGACGAGGTTTCACCCTGTTGGCCAGGCTGGTCTCAAACTCCTGACCTCAGGTGCCCACCTCAGCCTCCCAAAGTGCTGAGATTACAGGGGTGCGCCACCGCACCCAGCCCACACACACACTTTTTGAAACAGCCATTACACTTCTGAATGCAACTGGAGTGCTTTATGCATACTTTCCATTTGTTACACAGAATAGTAAAAAGACACGAACTTTGGGGAGAAGAGTCAATAAAATTAATATTCACTCTCATCAAGCACATTCTTAAATAAAATGGACATTTTTTTCTCCTTTTTACCATGAGCACATGAAGGCAAAGGATATAATGGCTATAGTATAGTTTGTGATGTTACCTTAAATTGTGCTAAGTGTTAGTAGGTTTACCCCACCATTGCTTTTGCATCATAAGTGTAAATATAAATGCATTGAAAAAAGGCAAATAGCATTTTAGTTATTATGAAAATAATTTTGACCTCATTGATCACTTGAGGAGTCTCAAGGACCCCCAGAGTCCCATGGGTTACTTTGAGAAATACTGTTAAGCTATTTGAGGGTCAAACTAATCATCCTAATATCCCCTTTCAGTTCCTGGTCCAGAACTTTACACAGAAAAGGTGCTCAAAGGATATTTGTTTAATGAATGTGGTATGCTGACATTTAAACAGGACAAAACTTGGTGAGTAAAATTAATGTAGGCAGTCTCCCATCCATCCAGGCGGTCTTGATCAGGCAGCTTTTCCATAGACATTTGTGATGACAAATGGAATGTATATGATATACACTTGGTAAATGCAAATGATGAAATAGAAGAACAAACTATAAGGTGATTGTACTTACAGAGCTAACAGTCTGAGCCTTGCCTGGCTCCTATTAATGAGTCCTCTATTTTTTGTGTCTTTAAATTTGTAACAGTCTCTTAGAGAATCCTCAACTAGGATGGATCTGATCTGAAAAGCAAACATCCGATTTAAATTTCAGTAGTTCTCTGCTTGTGCTTGATCTAGTAGTCTTTTCAAAAGGGATTATAGAAGGTGACTGTTAAAACAAATCATTTTGATTTCCCATAGTGAGTTAAGAAATACATTTTGTTCCTCTTCTGCTTTCTAAATAATATGTTGGGCTTCTTTCTGTTTTGTCGTTGTGAGACATCCGAGGAAACCTTTGTTTTCTATAAGTCTTTATATTCTTTGGATTTGAAGAGGCGGTTTTCTGAATAAGAAAGTCTGACCACACTGGGTATATTGTCAGATTATTTTGTCCTTACAGAAATTAAATTGTAAAATTGGGTGAGGGCATTGCTTTAAAACATAGTATTTTTACTCTTTTAAAGAAGGTAGATTAATGAAAAGATTGATCAGTTCAAATACTTGGAATATTTAAACCAGTTTTATATTAACCTAAAAAATTATTTTGTAGACATTTTGAACTTTGACCTCCTGTTTGTCCTAAATTGATTTTAAATCAGTATCCAATGCTGAGGACCAATAAATGAAACACTCATATGTTGTCTTCAGCAAAATTTTTTATATTATGAAAATATTATAACTTTGAAGTTGATACTTAAAATACTTGAGCCGAAGTTTCTGCCTTTATCCTAAATGTGGAACATTTTCATGAGCTTTCTCATAAGTTTGCTTACTTGCTTTTCATAAAGTTGAGTGAGACTATTACAAGAGACCCAGGGACATCTTAACATCCTTGAATCTCAGGAACTTGATTAAAAAAAAATTTTGTTGTTGTTTTTGAGATAGGGCCTTGTTCTGTTGCCCTGACATGATCACTGCTAACTGCAGCCTGATCTCCCAGACTCAAGCAGTCCTCCCACCTGAGCCTCCTGAATAACTGGGATCACAAGTGTGCACTACCATGCCTGTCTTCTTTTTCATTTTTTTTTTGTAGAGAGGGGGTCTCCCTATGTTGCCCAGCCATCCTCTCACCTTAGCCTCCCAAGTAGCTGAGACTACAGGCATGCTGGTGCATGCCTGACTAATTTTTAATTTTTTTCTAGAGATGAGGTCTCACTATGTTGCCCAGGCTGGTCTTAAACTCCTAGCTCAAGCAATTCTCCCACCTTGGCCTCCTGAAGTGTTGGGATTATAGATGTGAGCAATGGAGCCTGGCCAGGAATTTGATTTTTAGGGAGAAGCCTATTCAGTGTTTCCTTAAATTTCCTCTGCCTGGTTGTACCACAGCATACCATAAAATGATAAACTGAAACCATCTGATAACCAGGAATGGTTAGAAATTATTTGAAATCACCGATTTGGAAAATACCAGTCAGAAATTAATGCTATTTTTATGATATTCTTAGAAGACTGTTTGAAACTGACCAAAGTAAAAAATATTCTTTCAGAGTTATAAGTGTGTTTAAAATAAAAAAGCATATTCAAAATAAAGTATGTATTTAAGTTTACTGGACAGATTTAATCTTGAGTTCTGTGTGTAAGGCATAGACTGGAATGTTTGCTACAGATATTTTGTGGAACACAGATTCAGATTGCTGTTTGCTTAAACATATACATGACTGCTGACCTTCAGAACTGCTTTAAATTTCTCAAAAAAATTTCTCATTATATGCCAGGCTCAGTGGCTTGCATCTGTAATCTCAGCTATTCGAGAGGCTAAGGCAAGAGGACTGCTTAAGCCCAGGAGTTCGAGACCAGCCTGACCAACATGGAGAAACCCCGTCTCTACTAAAAATACAAAATTGGCCAGGTGTGGTGACACATTGCCTGTAATCCCAGATACTTGGGGATTTTTTTACGCTGAGGTAGGAAAATCGCTTGAACCTAGGAGGCTGAGGTTGCAGTGAGCCGAGATCCTGTCATTGCACTCCAGCCTGGGCAACAAGAGCAGAACTCTGTCTCAAAAGAGAGAGAGAGAAAAAAGATAAATTTATCTCTGATTTACTCAGTATTATAACCCCGTTTAAGTAGTTTGAAGAGATTAGGGTTAAGTCCTACTACTTTTGGTATGACTCCAGTAGTTGCCACTTTAAATAATTTTTGAAATACTTTAAGCATAAAAAAGGATATAGAACGATATGATAAATTCCACACACCTACTACCTAAAGTAATAAAAATCACAGTTATTGATGAAGCTTGTTGGGCACCCCTTCCCCATCCTAATCCCCTCCCTTCCCAGCTGTGACCATTATTCTCAATTTGGTATTTATCATTCTCCCCCTGCATTTTTACAAACTTTTTCTATATGTGTATGTATCCACTGAAAAAAAGTAACAATGTTTGGATTGCAGGGAAAACTAAAAAGTATAATGTTTTATATGTTTTTAAACTTTGTATAAGAGGTTAAACTTAATTGATACATATAGTTATAGTTTACTCATTTTAAATGCTGTAGATACTTGGTATAATGGAGTGTGAAAGTAATATATGTTTTTTGTAGAGAATTTTAAAAATGAAGGGAAGTATGAAGATGATAAAAATCTGTCCCCAGCTATCTGATACCACAGTCAATATTTTGTTTTTCCTTTGTGTCTTCTCTTCCCACTTAAATGTATGTATTTTTTGGTACCCTTTAATCTAGAAGGGACCTGGTTTTAAGGATTACATAAAATTGCAAAACAGCTACATAAAGCCTGTAATCCCATTTTAATTGATTCTTAGTTGAAAAGGGAAAGAAAATGAATGAGCATTATATATCAGACATACCTGCTAAATTTACTACCTATACCAGATATTGATAGTCTATTTCTTAGTATGCAAACACTGTAGAAGTGGCATTTGGAAAGAGGTTGTATTGCTGAACATGCTTTTAAATTTATATGAGATGTTTCTAGTAAACTGATTTTCCAGATAGGTGATGTGTATCTCTTTAAACATTAAGTACTGTTTTGGTTTTAACCATTTTTTATGGGAAACAGGAAAAGCAAAAGCAGCCTACAAGTATTTCTGTGCTCATTAAGCCAGAATACTGTGGTATGTTTACAATTTTATCTTTTCTTGGCAATTCGATGTCACTGTGGAAAGCACTGATTTACTGAACTGCATTGTGACTCCTGTTGTTCTAAATGCCTTTGAACTCTTGTGCACTTTTTAGTTAGATCTTTATTAACATACTATGCCACTACAGGGAGGGAGCTGGAAAAGCATGATACACAATTTAAGACAAGTGCCACCAAAGGCTAGTGTTGGCGAATGAGCTCCACCAAACCATTGTTTAAAGTGAAGAAGCAGTCGTCTGAGGCATTTCTCTCACCAGTGGCGGTAGGGGGAGGCCTCCACCAGCATCAGGGAATCTTCACTGGATGCAGCTGACCCACCCTCCTGACTGCTCAGTCTTCCCACCACTGTTCATCCTTTATTTACGTTCAGATGTGTTCAGCACTAGGTAACCATACTTATTAACTATAAGTGAGATGTGTGCACAATATATATAACTGTAAGAATATTTATAAACTGTAATATATGCATAACAAATTTGTAATATATCAACTATAGATCTGTAGAAGTATTCAGTATTATATAACAGAAGGCTGTGGTGATTTAGATTGGAGGAGCTCCTGACCATGCCTGAAAATCCTTGTACCCCTCTTTGACCATACCATGATTTCTTAAGGGAATATTGTTTTGTTACATCTGTATTTAAAAATATTTATACTTTATTTTTTACACAGTTTTAACTTTATAGAAAACTTAAGTGGAGAATATGGAGAGTTACCATATCCTCTCCTACCCGTTTCTTTTATTAACATCTTGCTGTATTTGTTATAGTTGATGAACCAATATTAACAGAATTCCATAGTTTACATTCAAGTTCATTCTTTGTGTTTGTGCAGTCTGTGAGTTTTGACAAATAGATAATCATACAGAATGATTTCACTACTCCAAAAGTATCCTGGTACTCCCATCTTCCCTTTCTCTAATCTCTCACAACCATTTTTTTACTGTCTCTCTAGCTTTGCCTTTTCCAGAATGACATATGGTTGGACTCATACAAATGTAGCCTTTTCAGACTGTCTTCTGTCACTTAGCAATATGTATTTAAGATTCCTCCATGTCTTTTCATGGCTTGATAGCTCATTTCTTTTTAATACTGAATAGTATTTCACTGTATAGATATACCACAAGTTGTTTATCATTCACACACTGAGTGACATCTTGGTTGTGTTCAAGTTTTAGCAATTATGAATAAAGCTACTGTGAATATTTACTTGTGTGCTGATTTTTGTGTGGACTTGAGTTTCAGCATATTTGGGGAAATACCAAGGAGTGCAATTGTTGGATCCTATGGTAAGAGTATGTTTAGTTTTGTAGGAAATTGCCAAACAGGCTTCCAAAATGGCTGTTTTGGAATACAAAATGTATTTTTAGGTTGCTCATGTGTTTTTCAAAAACACATTACTCAGGTATATTAATGGAATGCTTGCCTTTTGATAAGATTACAAGCAATTGAGGTCTGTAGCACTGGTTGTCCCTACATAAATAATACCAGCTGCTTGTACTTTGCTTGTTCTTGTTTGCTTTCTCTTTTATTTTTTTTCTTCTTCCATATGTTTTTACTCTCTTTATTTTGCTTTACCACTTCTGCTTTGTCGTGAGAAATCAGAGGACTATATTTGTGTACAAATTTAAAAGGCAAAGTAAAATAAGTCTAAGTCCTGTTAGGGATGGTTAAGATTATAGCATTAAGTAAGGTATTGTTGGAGCATTAATCTCACCATATAGAGTATAATCTTCAGAGATGGGAAAAGGGAAACAATACATTAACTTGCTTTCCTTTGTAATTTCTTAATTATAGGGCAACTGTATAAAATGTTTTAAGACTATGATAGAAGAGTTTTGGTTACATTTCTCTGAGAGACCTCTCTTCAGCTTCTGCTGTTACAGTTTTTTTGTTTGTTTGTTTTGTTTTTTTAAAGCACACACCACCTTTGGGAGGGTTAGAGATCTTGAAAGAGGACCAAGCCTTCCCTTAGAGCTAGCTTCACTCCATTTTGTGTAATTCTGTTTGTATGTACATTTGTACGTACCCCCAACTGCATCAGAATATCAATAGATTCTACTCTCCCAGGTGAAAGGCAAGGACTGTACCCAGTCTTATCTGGGGTATGTATCCAAATGACCTGAGACAGTCTTCCTAACATATACTTTTGGACCCCAGGGTTCAGACTCTCCTGGGGTGGAATCTTTTTGTTACCTTTCTGTCTGTCTGCTGGTTTGAGTGGGGATGCATGAAGGCCCACGTCTCCAGTGCCTCCAAGTGGTTGTCTGGGATTTGCATGAAGACATCTAGTGATGGGAGAACACACACTGCTTCCAGCCACTGTCTGTACACCCCCGTTAGAAAAATGATCTGTTGACCAGAATTCTGCCATAATTTCTTACCTAATTTTTTTAAGTCTAATTCTTCTTCCTCATAATGGTCTTTTAATATTTTATGAGAGAGATTTCTAAAGTCCTTCTTGAGATTGAAACACCTCTTATTTTTTTAACTGTTCGTTAATTAAGCATTTTCATAGTCCCAGTGAAATATAACAGGGTGTTTCTCACATCTTGAGAAAGTGGAGTGCCCATGACTACATACAGGAGTGGTCATTGTTCACATTGTGCATATGTTGCTTGTCATATGATGCTTTTTTTTCCATACTAAGTTTATTGTGAACCAATATTTCTGGATCTGTTTACTTTTTCTGTGGTGATGACACAAGTCTCCATCATCCCATTTTTCTTCAACTGGTTTTTACCTTCTTTTTTTGAAACAGAGTCTCAATTATTGTCCAAGCTGGAGTGCCCTGGTGTGATCTCTGCTCACTGCAACCTCCTCCTCCTCCTCCCAGGTTCAAGCGATTCTCCTGTCTCAGCCTCTCAAGTAGCTGGGATTACAAGTGTGGGCCACCACACCTGGCTAATTTTTGTATTTTTAGTAGAGATGGCGTTTCATCATGTTTGAGTCATGGTGTCAAACTCCTGACCTCAGATGATCCGCCTTCCCTGGCTTCCCAAAGTGCTGGAATTACAGGCGTGAGCCACTACACCTGACCTTTCAATGGGTTTTTTTAGATCAAAGTTTAGAATAATATGCTTATGCCTGTGAACATTTATCTTGTTAGATTATGCTCATTAAGCCATTGGAGTCTTTGGGGGATTTGATCAATGCATTGTTCCCATCTCTTTTCAGTTTTTTGTTTGTTTGTTTTGAGACGAGTCTTGCTCTGTTGCCCAGGCTATAATGCAGTGGTGTGATCTCAGCTCACTGCAACCTCCACCCCCCTAGGGGTTCAAGTGATTCTCCTGCCTCAGCCTCCAGGTAGCTGGGACTGCAGGCGTGTGCCACCATGCCCAGCTAATTTTTGTATTTTTAGTAGAGATGGGGTTTCACCGTGTTAGCCAGGATGGTCTCAATCCCCTGACCTTGTGATCTGCCCGCCTCGGCCTCCCAAAGTTCTGGGATTACAGATGTGAGCCTCCGCACTGGCCCACTTGTCTTCCCTCAATAGCTGATTCTAGTTTGTGTTAACCTCGATGGATAGGTATGGCTAAACATAAACCTCAGACAATATAAAAATGTATTCATTTGCAGAGCTACCAGGGTGCATGGTGTGCTTGAATCATATTGAACTTCAAGAACCATTATGTTTCTTTTTGATGTTTAGTTATACATTTATTACTTTTAATTATTCAGTAGTCTTTTGGTATATTGGAGCCAATTTGTCTGTTTTCAGTTTCTCTTAAACTTTTAGTATGTATTTGAAAAGCTTGCAGGCCCCAGTTACTGTGTCTATAATGCCTGTTAAGTAAAGTGACCCACAGACCAGTCAATAAGACAGGCCTTGACTGAAGAGTAATCCTTGGGCCTCAGTTTCCCAACTGTACAATGAGATACTTGGATTAATCACAGTGTTTCCCTTTGTGCTCTGGAGTTCTGAATATATTCAGAGGGTACTGCAGGAGGTGAGGATGAATAGCTTTAGCTCTCTGCATTCTCATGCCCTTCAATAGAAGAAATTCCACTGTTATCTTACATTTTGAGGTTCCATACAGGATTCTGCTTAAAGACAAAGCTCTGCTTTAAAAAAAAAAAAAAAAAAAAGGTGCATTGGAAACCTCTGCAAAAAAGCAAGAAAGAAAATGGCTCTCAGAGGACATTGGGCAGCTTGGAAAGTCTATATGTGTCCCTCATTTCATGAGTTTGGAGGCCTCTGGTATTTCATTTGGTGAAAGGAAGAAGAACTTACGCTGTTTGTCTTTTATTTATCAAACCTAGACATAACAATGGTTATAAATGTAATCACATTCTTATTATTTTAATGGGAGAAAGAAATCTATAAAGCAGAAATAAAGTTCTTACAATCCACAATTCTATTTTGCATAGATAAAAAGCATTCGTAATAGTTTGAGCATATCTTCTGAAATTATTTTGTTTGTTCACAACCATGTTTATTTACACTTTAAAACGATGAGACCGCACTCGTTCTAGCAGATTTGATGACCTGTTATTTTCAATTTCCATCATTTTGTGGACATTTTTTTGTGTGTGAGTACACATCAGTCTACTTCATCCTTTAAGAAGAGCTTGTCCAACCTGTGGCCCACAAGCTGAATGTGGCCCAACACAAATTCATAAACTTTCTTGAACCATTATGAGGTTTTTTTTTGGTGATTTTTTTTTTTTTTAAGCTCATCAGCTGTTGTTAGTGTTAGTGTATTTTATTTGTGGCCCAAGACAGTTCTTCTTCTGATGTGACCCAGGGAAGCCAAAAGATTGGACACCTCTGCTTAAGGCTTCTGTAATATTTTTCTGTACCAAGAGTTAATATTGTTTATTGCACAGCGCATGGAATCTATTCTAAAGTATGACCCTAGTTTTATTTGTACATTGCTACTGGCACACTTATTTTTTTTTTTTCAGTAGTTTACTCTTTGGGGATGGGGGTTGTGATATGTGGTGTTTTTTCTGGTTGCTTCCATTTCCTCTGGTTTGACTACAGATCAAGACCTCAGTGTTAGCCCAGTCAAGCTAAAGATGCAGATTGCCCTTTTCTTTCAGTCAATAGCTAATTTAACGTCCCCTTTCATAGTTACAAGTCTTTTCTTCAGAACAAAATCTTGGCAGCAAGAGTTATGCTTGACACTTTGTTCTAGCATATTACTGCTGGTGAGAAAGACAGTTGACTTGTTTTGACCCAAGTGAAATTCCTTCTAAGAGACCAGGAAGGTAGATGATGAGCAGCTTTTGGGGGTTTGACAGCCAGCTGCAGAAGGTCCATTGTGGCCAGGACCAAGTAGCTGCTGATGAATGTGTGTATGGTGAATTACATTTGATGGCCTCTTTTCCCTTTTGTTTTTGAGAATTTTATCAAAGATCACACTGAGAAAGTAGTATTGAGA